CCCAGCTGCTCTTGGGGACGCCTGGGGCAGAGCAGCTGGGGTGCTACCAGGTTGGTCCTGCAGCGCCGCTCCTCGTCGCTACTGGACCAACCCGGCAGCACCCCAGCTGCTCTGCCCCAGGCATCCCCAAGTCAGCCGCTGCTGAAACTGATCAGCGGCTGATTCCAGGAAGCCGGGGCAGAGCAACTCTGCCTCGGGCTCCATGTAGTCAGCCACTGGTCACTTTCAGCAGCGGCTGAATCTGGACGCCAGTTCCGACGTACATACAAATTCAACTTAAGAACAAACCTACAGTCCCTATCTTGTACGTAACCCGGGGACTGCCTGTATTTGTTGTTTTTTTAAGTTTTTCCTGTTACAGACTAACTCGGCTACCCCTCTGAAGATTATATTTAATATTAGATAGTCAATGAAAAAGTAAAAACATGTTTAATGATGGAAACAGAAATAGAGATATGGTAAAAGGTTAATGCAATTTTAATTTAAGGGGTGTTATAGTTGATTATAGAAAGGGTAGCCTACTAATTTTAGCTTAGAGATGCCTATCTACCATCAAGGAACCATTTGGAAAAGGACTATACCCATTTTCTTCAATTAGAAACTAATCATCTTTAAATGCCTCATTTCACCTTAAAATGTAAGTATAACTGCAGCATATGGTTATATTTGTAATGCCTATTTGCTTAACTATTTTATATTAAATAAAGTTTTTAATTTTAAGCACTTAATTTGCCATTCTCAGTCCTCCACTAAATTAAATTATCTATAGTCACCTTGAAGACTCAAACCTTAAATTCAGTTTGGTTTTATCCCTTATTTTTAAACTGCAACTTTGAAATACATAAATCAAAGGTTAGACTTGAAGGCTTACAGCAATTTACTACAGTAAAACTCTGATAGTCCGGCATCCAACTGTTTGGCACTCCCAATACTCCGGCATCAAAATACCAAGCGCTCCTGACCAGCTGATTAAAAAGCCTGCAGCTCAGCACACGTGATGGCTGTAACCAGACAGAGCATAAGGTTGGGGGAGGGGGGAGGGGGATCGTGTTACAATATGGAGAAGAGCGTTTTGCTTCAGCGAAGGGGAAACGGGAGGGGAGGGGGAGAAGGATCAGGTTACAGCACGAAGGAGAGAGACGGGAAGAGGAAAGGGGAGGGGAGAGGGAGGGAGATTGTGTCCTGGCCAGCTGTTAAGCTGTGCAGCTGTACCGGACTTCCTGATTCTCTGGCAAATCGATAATCCGTCACCACCTAGGTCCAAAAGGTGCCGGATTATCGGAAGTCTACTGTAGTTCTCTTAACGTAATTTGACAAAATCTTCACCCTTAATAAGTATGAAGTCCATGCCATTAAAATATACTAAATCCTAAGTTTCACAAGGGGTCTTTAACTGTGACTGTATTATTCCCACATACTCTGTATTTACAGTACTTGCTTTTCATCTTTATTTAGGCTGCTGTTCTCTGGTTTCTAAATGCCCTTGCTTTTTTACATGAACATAAGAATAGCCATACTGGGTCAGACCAACAGTCCATCTAGCCCAGTATCATGTCGTCCAACAGTGACCAATGCCAGATGCCCCAGAGGGAGTGAACAGAAGAGGGAATCATCAAATGATCCCACCCCGTCACCTATTTCCAACCTCTGACAAACAGAGGCTAGGGACACCATTCCTACCCATCTTGGCTCATTGCCATTGATGGACTTATCCTCCATTAATTTATCTAGTTCTTTTTTGAACCCTGGTAAAGTCCTAATCTTCACAACATCCTTTGGCAAGGAGTTCCATAGGTTGATCGTGTGCTGTGTGAAGAAAAACTTCCTTTTGTTTGTTTTAAACCTGCTACATATTTAATTTCATTTGGTGAACCCCAGCTGTTATGTTATGGGAAAAAGTAAATAACTTTTCCTTATTCATTTTCTCCATACCTTTCATGATTTTATAGACCTCTATCATATTCCCCTTTAGTCTCCTCTTTTCTAAATTGAAAAGTCCCAGGCTTTTTAATTTCTCTTTATATGGGACCCATTTCAAATCCCTAATCATTTTTGTTTCCCTTTTCCAAATCTTTTATAATGCTAATATATCTTTTATTAATGAAGTGACCACATCTGTACACAGTATTCAAGATATGGGTGTACCATGGCTTTATATAGAGGCAATAAGAATGTCTTATTCTCTATCCTAACATTCTGTTTGCTTTTTTTTACTGCTGCTGCACATTGAGTGGATGTTTTCAGAGAACTATCCACAATGACTCCAAGATCTCTCTTGAGTGGTTATCGGTAAATTAGTCCCCATCTATTTGTATCTATAGTTGGCATTATTTTTTCTGATGTGCATTACTTTACATTTATCAGCATTAAATTTCATTTGCCATTTTGTTGCCTAGTCACCTAGTTTTGTGAGATGCTTTTGAAGCTCTTCACAGTCTGCTTTGTTCTAAACTGTCTTGAGCAGTTTAGTGTCATTTGCAATTTTTGCCATTTCACTGGTTACCCCTTTCTCTCGATCATTCATAAATATGTTGACTAGGATTGGTCCCAGTACAGACCCTTGGAGGATACCACTAGTTACCTCTTTTCATTCTGAAAACTTACCATTTATTCCTACTCTTTGTTTCCTGTCATTTAACCAGTTATCTGTCAATGAAAGGACCTTCCCTCTTATCCCATGACAACTTACTTTACTTAAAAGCCTTTGGTGAATGACCTTGTCAAAGGCTTTCTGGATTCTAAGTACACTATATCCACTGGATCCCCATTGTCCACATACATGATGAGCCCCTCAAAGAACTCTAGCAGATTAGTAAGGCATGATTTCCCTTTACGAAGCCATGTTGACTTTTCCCCCCCAACAAATTATGTTTATCTATGTGTCTGACAGTTCTGTTCTTTACTATGAGCTGCAGCAGAGAAGTCTGTCAGTGATTCTGGGAGTCTCACTTTCTATTTAATTCTAATTAGGGCTGCAAACATTTTGGGAGAAAAGGATGAGAGAGAGAGAGAGAGAATGTGTTTTAGGGATTATTTTTTTAACTCCTCTGCTTCCCCTACTGGTCAGATTACAAGCCTGTCTAATGTTCCCATTGCAATTGTGTGCTGTTTAATTAAGAATGATGTAACAATGCTACTTAGCCACAGTTCTCCTTTTTGCTGTTCTGTACAACAAATTGTAGGGAGCTAATTACCATGGGCTACATACATGCTATATTTGATAAGACTCGCCTGTAGGGATGTAGTGAATAAGCAAGAGGTCTCAGAGTTTGGAGGCTTGGGTCTTATTACTGGCCTACCACTGACTTACTGTGTGTCCTTGGGCTGGTACTCTATTTTTTCAGATTTTCAAGTAATCAGTCCTACCAGCTGATGTCAGAGTTTCAGAAATATTCAGCTCCCATTTAATCACATAAATAAAAGCCAGATTTTCACAAAAATGATGTTCAGTGTATTGCTGTCTTGAAAATCTGGCCTCAGTTTTCTAGAAAAATCAGGACTTAAACTTATTGTGCCTTCATATCCCTCTCTGTTAAATGGGGAGGATAATACTTTCCCATTTAAAGTTCTTAGAGATCTACATATGAAAAATGCTGATTATTACCAAATAGTTACATTATTCAGTGTTTGGTATCCCACCTGCCTCTGGTTTTGAAGTGCCGTCATGTCAAAGGATAACATTCAAAACTCTCTGGACATCACATCTCTTTGTCCTTCAAGCTGTACTCCTGTGATAGTGACTCTAATAAGAAACAGAACCTAAATACTCTGTGATGACTCTCTTTCAGGTCCTGTACACAGATGAGTTATGCCATTGATATTCGACAATACCAGGTTGACATACTGTTTGATATTTGAGAGGGAGAGAAATGGCAACATTTCACATTTTGTTAAGAAAGTGAACACACCCCAATGCCTTCCAGTAGTTGGTAATGGCAAAGGGTAGGACATAGAGTACTACCCAGGATTAATGGCAGCAAGAAGAGAAATAGTGGCTGGTTAGAAGAGGGTTGGAGAACAAAGCAGTGTACATTAAAAGAAACTGGGAGTGGTGGTAGGAAGAATGCACTAGGAATTGGTATATTTATGAGCAAATGACATGATCCAACTCCTTCAAATTATTTTAGTGAGATTAAGACTAAACTCATTCCTAGCTCTACCAGAAAAGGCTCTTGTGAGCACATACTATATGTGGTTGCTGGTGTGGAAGTGAATCCCACCTCTATAATATCTGAACACAGTTGATAATTATTCTGTAATGTTCCCTGTTTCTCTTTGTTTAGAATGAATATGAGCTCTACATGGTGATACTTCTGGATTCTCTGCCTACAACACAATACAAGGTAATAGTAATTTTCTAGTGGCAGAGCAGAACGAGTTCATAAGATCAATGTTACTTGCATTCAAAGCTTAGAAAACAGTGGGAGGAGCCACATGCATGAGTTTAAAGCAGGGGTGGGGAACCTAAGGCTCAGGAGCCAGGTGCGTTTCTGCCTGGGTCAGGAAGACACAAAATCTACTAGCCTCCCTAGGCTCTGGTGTGTGAAGTGAATGTGGAGGTAGTGTCTTTCTCCTTCTCAGTTGGGGGAGGAGGCACATCAGTGAGGGGTTGGGGTTGGGTTTTTTTTGTTGGTGGTGGTTTTTTTTGCTTCTCATTTGTGTTTAGTGCCTGACTGATTTTTTTTTTGTGGGTCAGCAGCCCCCAACCCACAAAAGGTTCCCCACCCCTGGTTTAAAATTTCCTTCAGATGCATGCCTCCCTAGACAGACAGGTGTGCACCCAGACACACCAGTTATGTGAAATTGAACAGCCCTTGATTATTTAGTCCTGTGATTTAAGCATATTTGGGACCACTAAAAGTGGATGTGCACTTACCTTTGATAAAAGGTCCAGAGTCTGCCTTTTATTTCACTGCTCACGAGGACTTCTGTGGGAACACCAACAGCAAATGGCTAAACAGGCAGCAGATTTCAGGACATTAGAACAGAGTTGGCAGGAACAGCATGAATTGAATGTGTTGAAGCAGTTCACCCAACCATGAACTTCAGCTATGCAATATACATTGTTGGGGACTTTGGCTTCATTGATGAATACATCTTCACACTGTTCATTCTGTATTAAGATATGTTCCAGTTTTTTTTGTGGTCAGGAGGAAGAATTTGAGTAGACTGAGAGTGCTCAAGGGAGTCATATTTTAAATTCAGTGTCGTTTATCTTTAAGTCACTGGCTTGAAGCAAACCCAGATTGGTAGTGACTTTCAGTCACTACAACTGACATCTGTTTTGTCGGTCTTTGTTGAATGAGCTAGTGATTTCACTTCAATTCCTAGTGGACATATATATGCATCACAGGAAAAACACCCTCACAATTGGCAAAGAAAACATTCTGAATAAGGGCTAACCTCCAAAGTTTAAAAGCTCAGGTAGTAGGGAGGGTGCCTAGAAAAATATTCTGCACCATGGTTTTGTGGGAACACAAAATCTGAATTTAAACTTTGGTATTTGTACTGAAATTTACACAGAACTGTGTAAACATTTCAAGCCAGAATCTTCATTCTAAGGCAACTTTGTGGTATATTGTTCCCTTAAAAGGTGAACTCACCATTGGAATGAAGCCAGTAAAGTTAGCTTTCCACACCTCCTACATCTGTTGCTTGCTCTCCATTCACCTCAGCATGAAAGGGAAGTAGAAAGCATATCACGGGATGTTGTGGGGTGGAGCGCAGGCAGGACAGTGAGGGAAGTTGCCATGATTCAGCTGATTCTCCGCCAGCATGAAGTTCTTTGGGTCAGGACTATGTGGCTTTGAATCAGGGAGCAGAAATTGGCTCTCTGAGGGTATGAATACACAGTAGTCATGAGCATGCTTCCCAGTGTGGGTAGACAGACACGTTCTAGCACATTAAAAATAGTTGTGTGGCTGTGGTGACAGCGTCACCTTGCTGCCTGAGTACAGCCGCAGGTAGTCAGGTAATCTGGTTCTCTGGGGGCTAACCCAAACTGCCACATGTATCGTTGTGGCCACGCTGCTATTTTGGGCACTCTAGTTCAAGGAAAGCTAGGGTATGATCTGTCAATCTACACTGGGAAGCATGTTCTCAATCTTTCTGTTGGCACATCTCATTCTCTGCTTGTAATTTTTTTTTATTCTGACTCTGTTTTCCACAGTGTTATATTGCTATTAGGTAGCTTGTAATACAAGGATACTGTATGACATACTTTAATTTTGCTTTTATTGTGTATTTTCCATTTTGAAATACAAAAGTAATCATTTAAGATAGTCAATGGTCTCCAGCTAACCCACACATACAGGCTTTCATTGTAGTCTCATGGTGAAAATCCTGGCCCTATGGGAGCTGACAATTTACTTGGACGGGGTGAGGATTTCACCCTGGTTATCACCTCCCTTCCTTTTTGCACTCTGTGCTGGGGCAACTGTGTACTATGATGATCTGCTGATATCACTGTGTAAATTAATGATGAATCTGGCACAGCTGACAGAAGGGGAAGTGTGCTTTCTCTTGCATAACCAGCCACTTAGTAGATCAGCAAAGCCTTCAGATAGGTAGGAAAGAGAAGGGTAATTGGCTGGGAGAGGCACACAACATTGTCAGCCCTCTTTCTGTAGGTAACAACCTTTACTCTGTTTCCAATATCTCTGGAAATTGAATGAATTGTCTGTTTACAGAGATGGTTGTTCAACATATAGTTTTTCTGGTTCATCACAGGAAGGGTTACATCTAAAAATAAAAAGGGGTGGGAGTTGCTATAGGTCCTACATATCCAATGAGGAAAATTTGTACAAGTCCTTGCATGTTTCTCCCATATGCCTGTTATAAATGTGCATGTCTTCTTACTTCATTCCTGTTTATTTAATTTCACAGACACTGATGGCTCAGGTGAAAGGTATGGAAAAAAGACCCGTGAAAACACAAGAAATAGAAGAGATCAGGCGAGAAGTACAGAGCCTTGTGAAAAAAGTCAAAAGTGTCTTGGAGAGAAATGAAGAGTAAGTGTTGTAAGTGTAAGGGATGTCTATACTACAAGCATCTTGTGGAAGAGCAAATGCAAATAGAGCACTCATTTGCATAGGTCATGCTCTCATTTGTATTTCCTCTTCCTTTCTCTTCTGCGCGAGAGGTTTTTGCGCAAGAAGTGCTGTGTAGATGGTGCCTTTTTGCGCAAAACCCCCCTTTTGCACAAGAGCCGTTCTTCCTCAGGAAACCTTTCACCTCAATTGCTCCAGAATTAAAGAGGCAGTAGTTAACAGGTCTTACAATGCTGACACATTCTGCACATTCATATTTTCCTGTGCACTTAATAATGCATACTGGCTGGGAGCAGCTGGAGGTCATGGAAAGGTTCCAGCTGAGCAGGGACGGAGGAGAACAAGATTGCAGGGGCATCACTCAGTGCTTGTCCCCGGTGGCCGGGGCAGCCTCCCATCACGCATTGCTGGGGCAGCCATCTTCATGCAGTGCTTAGCCCCTGCAGCTGGGGCAGCCACTCTTCACACGCAGCACACCCAGTTGACAGTTGCGCCACTCACCCTGCTGCTGCGTGGGGAAATGGGTGGGAAGTAAATTTTTTGTGAGCGCACAGGCATGTACCTTATGGGGAACCTCAGCGGGCAGGGCTAATTAAAAGTTGGGGGCGTGGCCTGGCAATGTGCTGTGCCCTGGCAGGGGTTCACTAATGGCCGGTTGGGAACCGCTGGATTAGATGACTCAATAGGTTTATTTAATTTGCTTGTAGTTGTTTTTATTTGAACAAAATTGTGTCCATAATAGCATTAACACTGTGCTTTCCCAACTTATTTTGTATGATTTTATGATCATTAAGATGTTGTTATGTGACACGGCATTGTTTACACTAAAAAGAAATTATACCAAAAAATTAGTAGCTAATTAACACTGGCCAAACAATTTTACATGTATGTATGGATCTCTGGAGAAAGATTGTGTCACAGAGTGATATGGGAAAAGGGTTTTATTGATATGAGTTTGGTGGTATGTCTACACTGCAGAGTTTTTTCGAAAAAACTTCACTTATGTCCATATTGCAATTGCGTTCTTTTGAAAACACATTGAAAGAACAGAGGGGTTTTTTCCGACATTGGTAAACCTCTTTCTATGAGGAAGAAGCCTTTTTCCGAAGGAGCTCTTTTTGGAAAAAGGTGTGTGTGGATGGGGGAGAGGGAGTTCCTAAGAGAGAAGAGGAAAAAGCACAGGTGCCCTGGTGGGCACTCTGCCCATAGTAGTTACATCTGAAATGTGAGATAGCGTCTGTTCAGTGTGGATGCTATCTTTTGAAAAAGCAAATAGTTTTTTCAGTGCTCTT